TCCGCGCCGAAAATGCACTTATCGGTATTAGCATACGGCTTATTCATGCGTATACACTCGGGCGCCCTTAAATGGACGATGTGGTTTTCCTGGGCTGTCCTCCGTGCTCCGCACGACTGCGGACGAAGATGTCGTCAAAGTATGTCTGTGCATACGCCCTATGAGGCCTGAATTATTGCGTCAAAAGACGATGAAATGCTGCTGGTGCATTTGACAACCCTTGGGGCATCACAAGCCATCCCGCTCGGAGTACTCACCGCTGTCAGCGGAATGTCACTCGCTCTAATAAGGAATTGGTGATAATTATCGACTAAGTCGAATGCGCTGTACTTTTTACAGCCAACCAAATTGTTCTGAAGAACTACCTTTCTAAGAATTATGATTTGTGCCGTAATGGTGGCAGCGTTAAGCTTATAGTAAGCGAGAACACTACGCCACTTGCGTTCGGCTTCCGGACACAAAACTTGGGTTTCAAATTTGCTCTCACGCACCATTCCTGCCTAGTGCTTCGCACGGACAAAGGCGTCAGTTACGTCACACTGCCCTTTGTGCAGGGGCCATTGGCGTGTTACGCAGTATTGGTACCCGAAACCAGGTCGATCTCATGACCCACACCTCGGTCCATAGGTAGTACAGAAAGCGGGTCTTTGGAGACGACGTTTTGAAATCCTTTGCTTAAAGATATTACAGCAGCAGCGCGTGACGCTAGCTATCTTCAAGTTCGGGTGTCTAGTGCGAAGATGTGCGGTACTTCGGTCGAAGCGACATTTTTCTCCTCGACGCAGCTGCAGATGCAACTTTCACGAGTGTTTTCACCGCTTAACTAGGCGTATCGCGTGCAATCGTGGTTCCTTGCCTCCCCACAGGGAAAGAAGCGATCAGTGGACTTTGTCCGAAATTTGGTACTCTCATCGCCGGTATGGCAGCCGATCCTTATTCCGAGGCGGTCACAGTGACCGTCCTTATGGAAGACCTCCGCTCTGGCGTGGCCAGAATGGAAGTCTTACGTGTGCACCCGGCTTTTTTCGAAGAAGCAGTGAAATTGACATTGAATGTCGATATTCAATATTTGGTCACTGTAAACTCAAGATAATTGACAATCTCGATGTCAAGTTTTTTTTAGTTCGGTATTAGTGCGAAATGATGGTTCTTACCTGGGAATTTGATCAACGTGTTATTACTAAATGAAGTGAGCCGCACAAACCAGTCACTTTCTGAGAATATTTATACGAACTAGCTCAAGTATTTTAAGGTTCCGCTGGTTTGAACTTCAATGTACGTAAGATTTCGTGAATGAGGCATCTCGATTTATTTCTGTATTTCTATGTTTTATATACATTACCGCTATGAGTGCTAGTGTTTTCATTCATGTGGCTGCAAGACCGGTAGTCTCTTCTTGATTCAGCCATAGATTTACTGCATTTATGTCAAGTGTTCTTCAAGGCGCAAGAGTGCATGCCGTTTCTGGCTCGGCTCGGGCAGCCTTTAACGATACCCTATCATTGCTCGATGAACATCGGCAAAAGGCAGAGGTCCTAAGCCGACAGCTTTAAAGCCACTTTTTGTGAGAAGCCAAGGTGACCTCTGATGGTATGGACAGTCCGTACCCCAACCCGACATCATTGATCTCACCGAGAAATACACCCAAAGTCAATCATTGAGAAGCAGGCAATCTCTACTCATCTAATCTACACGGCTCAGGTTGCGCACTCCGTGCCCGTTCACGAAGAAAAGTATTGCTACACCTGTAAGAGTGCTGTTCACAAACAGCCCCTCAACCACAACACACATGCTTGTGCAACGAGGAATCGATTCCCGACGTGGAGGAAGAAAGCCAGTCTCGACTTGGTGGGAAATCAAACAACTTGAGCCTTTTCAGGCAAGTTTGTTATTGAATTTAGCCACATGCAAACACCCTAAGGGCTTCTAGAGCTTTTACTGAAATAATCATGGGATCTTTAAATATAAATCAAGATGTATGGAGGCTAACGCCACCCACTTCCAAAGACAAACATGTCGGTCTCGTCACCAGTACAGATCCTTAAGTAGGAACCTGCATTTTGTATCATGGACAATTATGTGACTTCATATGAAATATCACGTATGCATTTGTAACACCATACTGTAATCTTCTTTTATAAATTCTCACAATGCGTACAGAATGTACATAGATGCACCTTAAATAATGGCGAAGTGTAGCCCATTACATAATCCCCTCCTTAAATTAAAAGTAATTTGATACTTTTGGAGACCATTTGGAGCAGTTTACTTTCCTATCAACAATCAAACGCTCCAGTAAACAAGCCGAAATGAAAGAGCGTTCTTCGCCCAAATTGCACAGAGCTGTTCCAAAACTCGTTGACTTTTCTCGATTCTCAACCGAAATTAAGACAAGAAAATCCAGGTTAAACGGCTCTTTCAATGGCGTCAGATCAACAATCGTGATGATTTGATCCAGTCCATGGCGGCGAAGCTTCTCATTTGGCGGACATTGTTCGCCTTGAGAACCAAAACAAATGAAGCGACTGCTTTGCCGACTCGGCGCTGGCAGGACTCCCAGTCACGACCGAGCACATCCAAGCTCTGGTCGCCGTAGTGTTGCCTCAAGCAATACTACAAACGATTATCTACGGCTGCGGACCACGTCAGGGACATCAGACTCTAAGTCCTGCGATCTAATGAATAACCGCGCCACCGAACTCTGTAGCTGCGTTGATTGATCACCTTTTTCTTTCCACGATGAAGATTCGATCGATCTTCGCGATCGAGAATCGTGTCCACCACACAACGACGCTCTCCTCGAGAGTCTTCTAGCGGATGTGGGGACAAATGTGAGAAGTATTGAGCGACTCCGGGTGGAAGAGCGCTTATCGTGAGCAGATTGGAGCGCTGTAGCAGCGTTTTTCGATGCTTGAAGATCGCTGCGAGAGCCTCACAAAAACCTTATTGCAGGGCAGAACTCGAAACTCGACGTTCTGACAGTTGCTTCCGCCCAATGCACGGCTTTGGATCCCGTTTCTGACAACAGTTCTAACAGATTCATGATGAACTTAGTCGACTCCGGAAGGACGAGAAATCTCTTGGGATGACTCAAGAACACTTGTTGCGCTCTGTTGGAAAGGCAGTTTCTGTTCTCGAAATGCTCCGTGGTGAGTCTCATATTTGTTCTCAAGCGTTGGAATCAGCGAAGGAGCATCCTTTCGATGTCCTCCAACGCTTATACGCCGAGAATATCCAGGTTTTCTCCAGGTTGATGATTTGGTTGCCGTTCGTGAACAAATGGAGAAACATCATTTTCAGCTCAATTATTTACCAAAAGTGGAGTAGGATCGGCTGATTCACTCGGAAGATGCGACTTTGGCTTACCCACAAAAAACGTAGGACGTAGGCGCATGTGTGAAGGGATGACTTATTTTTTACGCATCGCCATTGATTTTCAACACCTTGAGCGGTCATATGAATTTTGGTAAAAGCTTCCAGCTTCCCAAGTTGGACACTGCATGTTCTGGCAGATATGTCGACTAAGTAGTACCTTATACACCTTCATGTTCTTCCATCCGCTCATATCTGCTTAATCTTTTTAGATCCTAAAACTCTTGCAATTAAGTTTCGAGCAAACCGAACAACGGCTTGTCTCTTCGCAAGGAAGTCATTGACGTGTTATTTCTCACGATTTGTTATGTCGTCTCGAAGTTTCATTGAGTCAAAATTCGCTTTTAACTCTGTAGCAGCATTTGGGTCTGACTTTGGCTCTATAGCCAGAGTTCCTCCCCCACACAAGGTAGAGATCTTGCCAATTATGTAAGCAGGCACTCTAGGATGAATACCATAGCTCACATAAAAAGGCGAATGACCTGTCGAGACATGCGTGGAATTATTGAGCGCAAACTCTGCAAGGGTTTAAAATCCCCTTCATTCTTTAAACAACGTAGCATAACTACGCAGTACGTTCTCCAGGACTCAATTCACACGCTCCGTTTGACCGTCCGTTTCAGAGTGTGCCGTTGTTGACATGGTCAAATTAGTCCAAATAGTGCACGCCAAAATTTCGACGTAAAACGGGTGTCACGGTCAGACACGATCTCAATAGGAAGGCCATGCAGACGGAAAACAACATCTACAAAGACCGTTGCTGTCTTCTCGGTAGAGATCTTGTCCGAAATAGGCGCAATATGAACTATCTTACTGAATCGGTTTACTAACACATGGATGCCACTGTGTTCATGTGTATCACGCGAAAGTCCGAATATGAGGTTCCTACTCACAGATTTTCAGCTGTCAGTTGGCACTGCCAACGACCAAGTTGGGCCTAAGTGGAACCCGATAGTTTCACTGTTTGGCAAGTCTCACAAATCCTTACATACTTGCGCACCCATTTATACGCATATCCCAATATGAGAAAGGGTGTATTGGGGTTAGTACTGTCATCTTATGTGCTTCATAACTACAATTGTACTCAATACAATTGTAGCTTGTATAGTTTTATAAGTACCAATGTATTGGTATTTGTGAAGATGACGGAGCTCCGAAAAGCAGAGGTCAAAAGTTTCCATTCGCACGTTGAAAAGTTAAGGTAATTTTAATTATGAGAGGAACCTCTATCGCGCCTAACTGGTAAAATAGTCGATATTGCTTACATCATCTTGTAAATTATCACAATTATATAAAGTATTGCTGTATACTTTGGTTTGCAATATCCATTTATTTGATCATTAATATTCATTTCATGTAGGGAAATGCTGTTATAGACAAAAAGTACTCATTTAAGCGCTATAGATAGCGCTCAAATGAGCAGCATGTTTATAGCCTTAGACATTACTGTTATGCGTTCACTTTAATATATTTATTTATTTATGAAGGCTCAGAGGTTGCACTCGATCTTTTGTGCATTTGTTAGCGCGGACGCTGAGGGTCAAAGCTTCTTCTATTGAAAGTGCATGGCAACCCAGTTGCATCAAACGATTTCATATAACTCAAAATATGAAGTTGTAATATTTGATCTTCCGCTGCATTCATACTTTTCTTGCCGTCTGTACCTGTTATCCTTCGTTCGGTAGTGGTAAGCTTTGAGCAAAAAAGACATCTTGCTGCTTAAGGGGCGACAAAAGCGCACCTTTGTGATACTATTCTAAGCTTCTTTGTCAGCAATCAATTTTTTTCTCTATACTCACCATGACCTTACTGCTGATATGTGTTAAATGTTTTTTAGTAGTCATCAACATTACTTGTTAATTCTCAGCTGCAATCCAAAAAACCAATACCAATACTTCGCCACAGACCTAAACTGAAGGGGGTGGTCTCATGTTCATTCATTGAACGAGAATTACGCGTGAGCTCGCAGGTTGAAGTCATCACATGCAAGGTGATGTGATATAGTGCTTATGGAGCAGGAGAAATGCAGTTTACGCTGTAGAGCAAAAGCGTCTGAATCTAAGACGCTGCAGAACGATTGTTAAAATGAGTATATATAATGGCCTCTGAGCTTTGCTAATACCGCATTGAGCTGTGTCTCGGGGTACGTATGTATCCGTTTGAGCTGATAGAATTACCCACGCACCGGCTTTGCGAATACAGATGACACAAACGGAGTAGGGACGTGACATCTAAGCCATAGACGAAGCTCGAACCGTATCTGAATACTCATCGACAGTCGTGACAGGAGCTACCTTAATAGATTGTGTCAAAAAAGATGGTAGTGACAATAAACAGCGAGCAGTAATCAATTTCTCGCCCAAGGCCGATGATCATGTTGATGCTTCCATGCAGCTGCCTGATGTTCACCTGCTACTAGTTGATTATTTGACAATAAGCGCTAGATGAACTGTATGCTGCGGTTTCACACTTTTACTTTGTACTCCCAGCACCCTTCGCAGCAGTGCGAAGTACCCATGGCAGCCCAGAGCAATGATCACGAACAATGGCTTTCGTCTGAAAGACATAGAAAATTTTGTAAATGACCTTTTTATAAGTTGCACCCAGCACTTAAATGGCACGCGAGCAGTTTGATTTTTACACCTTGAAGCATCGTTGAAACACGCAGTTGCTGTGCTATGATGGCATTGTCATGTAGCACTTCACTGCAATATGTCAAATACTGTTCTCGTCTGTTGCAGTCTAATCGAGCCAGAATAAGTTAACATGCGCTCAGCGGATGTATCAATGTTTGATGTAAAGACCGTCCCTGATGTGATGGACAAGCGTCCTGATAACCAAAGTTTGAGAGAGTTTGCCAGCTTTCAGGACATAGGGGCTGCATGATGCAGCCCAAATTGTTGTTGGGTGGTACATCAGTGATTTTAATGGCTCGATGGCTTGTACAGCTGTACATATCTGCTTTAGTATGTTGCTCTTTAATTGTTCGAAATCTGTAAGCCAGCTGCACCTCCAAAAGATTTCTCTTGTGGTCCACATTTATACCTGATACAGCAACCTTCCTCCCTCATATTCGGTTCCACTATTCTTCGGATTTTCGACTTCGTCTCAGTTGCCAAAAGCGCGTACGACCTTTCGGCACTTTGAGTAAGGTCCACCACAGCCGGATCTCATCCTGTGTAGAAAAAAAACTTGTAAGCTACCTGCGACAAAACATACTTTAAGCAGCATACATTGCGATACAAATACTGTTACTCGAAACCTGTTTTTATATGTTCCCTGGCCAAAACTACGTAACAATATTGTATTTTCTGCGCCGCATATTCCAGCACAGCATCAGTCCCACCCAACGTTTGAATCCGTGCATAATGCAGCACTGCTACCAACTCCATGACGCTCACATTTAAATTACTCTTCTCTCACTCACTACCACTCCACACGTTAACCTCATGACTGAGAGCGTCGAATTAACACTGAGCTACGCAGGACAGTCGCACAAGATGACAGTGCCGCTTTGCTCTGCAAACCCCAAGGATGACTTGAGCTACGAGCTTGTGCGAGCTAAGGTTCAAGAGACATTTCCACGACTCTTGGACCAGCGCTGGACACTAGTCTACCGCGACGATGAGGGCGATGTTGTCACCGTCTCGCACAGTCTCGAATTCGACGAGGCTTGTCACGTGTTGTTCGCAATGAATCCCCAGGACAATGATAAGCTTCGCACACTGCACTTTTTTGTGCTCAAGCGCGTCACTTTTCGTGATAAATTAGTTGCACCCGTTCTGCAAAAAATTATGGAGCTCGCCCGCCTGGCGCGAGAAGCCACGAAGTACATGCGCAACGTCGAGGTGATTGAAAAGAGCCGCAAGTCCGTGGTGAAGCTCGCCAACAATGCCGTAAACCAGGCGGGTGAAACCATTAACCAAATTCGTAACAGTGAAGTGCTGGGCCGCGGACGCGCGTCATTGGGCAATTCAGCTGCTCACACGCGAACATTATTGCTATCTGCTCGCAGTGGGGTGAGTACACAATTGCGACGAGCAAGCTCGGCCGTTGTGGCTGGTATTGAACGCCGACGGTCATCAAGCGGCTCAGTGAGCGACTTTGATCCAACAAATTTCATCAAACCTTCCGCTTCCGTCACATCGCCATCAATGGAGTTGGCAGAGACTGTAGATCTGCGACAACCGGTCGTAGTTACAACGTTAGCACCAACAGAACTTACAGCAGAGGAAAGCGATGATGAGCCGCCTGCCCTTCTTATGGCAACAGATGCTGGTGTCGAAATTATATCGGGATCACTCTACGAGTCAGACACCGACACTTTGTGCGACGACGACGACCGTGATTGGAACAATATAGGCGCTGCATCTGGCAAGGATGTTATTGTTGAATCAGATGGCGATTGGAGTCATCAACTTAATGTTATTCGGGAAATTCTTGGGCAAGTGGACGAGGAGCGTTGCTATGACTTGCTAAACCAATACAACGGTGATGTTGAAGTCGTTCTCGTCGAGCTCACAAAGATGTAAAAAAAACTGCTTCGTTCTCAAGAAATAATTAACAAAATTTAGTGTGTTTTATCCTTTGATTCCATATTGTTCATCGATTTTGTAAGGGTTTTGTTCCAGCTGGTGTCGGTCCTTTCGGGATCATAGCGTGCATACTCATTGTAGTTTGCATGCCGTTGGATGCACCACTCGTGGCTGTCATGGCTTTTGCTTGACCTAAAGCCACACTACGGCAACGTGATGCAAAATTAAGCGAGCAGAGCGTCTCCCAGGCATTCCATTGTACAGGACTGACATTGACAAACATGAGCACCTTTGAGTTACCACTCAAGGAATCTTGCAGTAAAAACGTTAGTTTCGAATTACGATATGGCACGTGTTTACTATTTGCACCCAGAGCTGCGATCACGTCTCCCAGCGCAGATAGAGATCGATTGATATTCTGCGCTTCTTTAAGCCGCTGGCCACTTGCTGCTGTCTTGCTGACTCTTTCGGAGCCAGCCAAGTCAATTAAGTGCATTTTAGAGATTCGCCGACGAGCTTCAGACTTAATCCCCGTTTCTATCGATATGGACAACACAAGATGCGAGCGACTCGAGTGCTCATTAAAATCGTGTGAGCCCACACTGCGATGGGAGTGGCCCATTCGCATAAGATGGAGCACATCGCTTTCATTTGAAACCTCGACTTCAATGAGATTTTCAACGTATACGCCATTCTTCCCCACACGCACATCCAGACCCCTCACAGCGCTTGGTGATGTAGCGCCCGAAGTACGGCCATTTCCTTCAAGAAGATCCACAATAGCTTCATTATACACTTCCAAAATACTCAATTTCATCGTACACTCAAAATTATCCGCTGCCAAACGGTCGTCCCGAAGGGCAAAAAGTTCGCGAAGTGCACGATAGTTCACACCGCGGTCGTTCTCTGGTCCTTCCATTGTGTGGGTCTTGCCTGATCCAGTTTGTCCGTATGCAAAGATGCAGACATTAAAACCGTCTAGGGCGCTCACAACTAGAGCCCGAGTTTGTTCAAATACTTGTTCCTGGCTGCTTTCTGGCTGAAATACGTAATCGAACTCAAACGGGTGCTTTTGACCAATCTGGTGAGCTTTGTCGCCTACTTCGGTGCCAACAAAAAGTTCCAGACTTTCGTGATCGTTATCGCGGAAGAAAACGACTACGCTTGACTGATCACTGTTCAGCTCTACCGGCTGAATGGGACGCACACGACAAAACACGCGGATGTTGCCCTGTAATTCCATCAGACGGTTGTGCAGCTTTCGTCGAGCCATCATTTCGTGGGTATAAAGCTCAAATGCACGTGTCTTTTCTTCATTTGATTGGCGTATGATCTCGGCGCTCTACAACGAAACAAAATAAATTAGGTAAAAAACGTTTCGACAGAAATGTGAGTACAACGTACGGCGTGTTGAGCCTCGGCATAAGCTTCCTTGCGTTCTTTTTGAATGGTTTGCGCTACTGATGAGACTTGAATCTCCGCGTTCTGTAATGCAATCTTCAGTCTTGAAAGCTCGTCTTCACGCTCTTTAGCCAATACTTGTTGCGCTTTGAGTTCGCAGTCCACAGCTTTAAATTCACGCTTTAAAGCAAGCCGATGGTCTTCCAAATCTTTAATTTGTGCTGCGCATGTAATCTTAAATTCTTCAAGCTGCTTCTCTAATGCTACTTTTTCCGCAATTGTAGTTGCTAATGTGCTCTCCATCAACTCAAACTCTTTCTGTCGTGCAGCTTCGTTGGTTACCGAAGCCTTAAGCTGTTTCTGAAGGTCTTGCTCCTCGGCTGATGGTCGACTTGTTCTCAACTGTGTCAATTCACGCTCGAATGAAACTGCTCGCGTTCGCTCACCTGTGAGCTCTTTTTCCTTTTCGTGAAGTCGAAATTTCAATGTTTTGATCGCTTCGGCAGCTTCAGCTATAGAAGCTTGTACTTCTTCGCCCGAGTGCTTTCCTGCCTCTTGTTGCAATTTTCGAATGGTTGCTTGTGCCACCTCCATCTTTGCAAGCAGTTCTGTATGTTGATCTGTAGTTTGTTGTAGCTGTCGTTTGAGCTGAATGGTAGTATCATGCTCGATCTCAATTTGACTTTGTTGTAGCGCAACGTCGCCACCTGTTCCAGACTGCTTCAACTGCGTCTCCTTTAATTTCGTTTGAGCGAGAGCCAGCTCTTTCGCAAGGGTTTGCTGCGCTTCCACAGCTTCCTCGTGTAATTTTATACTTTCTTTCATCCGTGATCGAGACAATGACAGTTCTTTAGTAAGCGTCTGATTCACTGCAATGATATCCTCGTTTTCGCTTAAGCTCTGCTGGACCTGCTGCTTTAATTCACTCACAAAACCCGTTAGCCTTTTTACATTGCTCTTTGTGGCTGCTAACTCCTCATCGCGACTTGTAAGCTGACGATCAAAGTCTGCGATTTCCAACTTTAAACCTGCAATAGCTTCGTCGTCCCTAGTTTTCTGTCTATCCATTTCCTCCAGCTTCTTTACATATTCATTTAACAAGCTCAGAGAGTTTGCGATGCGATGACGCTCATCTTCTTGCGACGTGAATACTTGAGATTGAAGTCCTTTACTTGGCACATTATAGTCGTTATAAATATTTTGTACATCCTCTCGATTCCACCCTTGCTTTGTCTGCGCCGTATGGTGCTCTTGGTATTCGGTCTCCTGCCAAGCCTTTCCGATATGGTAGCCGCCTGTATGGTAGTACGCCACTGGATGAGCATGTCGATGCGCATGAGTCTTGATCGCTTTTTTTTGCTTCAAGTCAGTGACAAGCTGTCGATATTCATCATCACAAGGATGATCCCATCGACTCTCACCAGTCATTTCGTTGTAGTAGTATGGTTGTCCAGTTTCTGACGCTGTAACATGATACCAGGCGTCAGGTAATGGGGCGATCAGTGATTGTTTTGCAATCCACAGTAGTTCGGTGTCAATCGCTGGATCAAGACCTAGTCGTCGTGAATGTTCCTCCACTGCAGCTTGAAACAATACTGGATCTGCCGCCTCCATCATTGCAGACTCATCACATAATTCATAAGTCGCTGTAGTGCCGTTACCTGCATGCCATGATGCGGCACTGCGGGCCATTGCCGCCTCTGAATGATATTCGTTGGCCACCCTAGTGGTATCTGAAGGCAAGTACTCATCTTCGTGTCGAGATCGAGATGATCTGGACGACATATTGCAATAATTGTCACTGGAATCTATCTCTTGAAAGGTCAAGTTCAATAACGGCATCTGATGTCCCGAATAGTGAACCGACGAAGCGGCACTCTCTCGTGGCAAAGACTGCGCAATTTGACGCGCACAATACTCATCACCCATGATAACGTATTATGATGGATGAGGCAGGTAGCGGGCTCTTAGGTGTCAACTCATGAATCCAATTATTCAAACAACAAGACATTATTTAGATTGCTGACTTAGAACATATGCGTGGATCTAATAAAGTCGGCGTAGATAACATAGCAGATAGCGACGAGAAGCGCAAAAATGGTCGTATACAGTACGATAGTGTTGGTGATGATTCGGCGCGTCATACGCTGTAGAATTCGTCGAGCTTCAATTGTCATGGCACCAGTCTCGCGCACCTGAGTAGGTGAAGTAGCTTTGTTAATGATTTATTAAAATAACGTTGAACACAGAGTCAAATAGCACCTTTTCTTGAGCTCCTAATAGACTTTGTCGCTGACTTGCCAGCGAATCTAACACTGCGATCCCAACCTCTTCTGTCTCGGCCACGATCCGATGAGTGTCTTCAAGCGTCTTTGACGATCTGCAAAATAAGCATCAAAGTCAGCTTATTATGCAAACAGTGAGGTAGTAAGCACGTATGTCGTACTTGATGAGTCGGTCGTTATTCTTACTTAATCGTTCGTACTGTGAAGTCTGCAGCACCACGACCGTTAGAGCTTCATGGACTCATTGACGAGTTCATAATTTCATCGCACTTCGTTGGTATTGCTGGATATACTCTTTCCTTCTCGTGCCATGAGCAGCGCCCGTTCCAAATCGCGAACAAGCCCCTGCAGCTCATCTCGATACATATTGATCTGATTATCTAAAGTGTCAATTTTAAGCTCCTAAAGTGCGTTGAAACATTGGATTTACCTTCGTTTGCATGGATCTTCTCAGCTGTGGCTGCCTACCGCGAGCTTCAACCGTCATAAGCTTTATCTGTATAAGGAGTATCACCAGATACGAACACAGTCAGTCTACTTATGCTACTAATGATGACACAACGCCACGCCAACAATTGCATATAATAATCACTTACAGAGCGCTGGGCTTCCACCACTCGAGCCTGGCCGGTTTGTGACGCGCTAGAAACTGCACTGGCTGTTAATGACCATAATAAGCACGCAAAGATTGCTTAGTGTTAGCAAAGCGTCGCTGCGTAGATTGGAGATTTTATGACATGTCGATCACACAGTGACCGTTCTGGCTCATTCACTCACCTCCTCCACGTAGAATTTCATTGATGATGTTATTAATGGCCATCTTACTATCCACGAAGTCTGCCTCAAGCGACAAGAATTCAGCTGGAAACTCAACCATCTCAAGTGGAAAATTATCGTTATTTGCAACTTAGAGCGTCATACCAGTACAGGTACTGGTATCACATTTTCTGTCAATTCGTAATCTAACTTTCTCCTTAACTATTTCTATTTCTCAATAAAGCGTTAAAGTTGTTCATTATATAGCCAAGCACCACCCCACGTTGTGGGCAGTAAGTGCACATTAGGTCTCAGTCCGTGTCACTAGCGGTTCAAACTCCCTCCACTATTCGCTTTAGCTGATCATGGCTTTCAAGATGAAATGCATCTTGTGCGACGACCGTACACTTTTCAAAAATGGTGTGCCACATTTTGCCTACATAAGCTTATACATGTTTGTAGGATTTTTCGCTATCTGCTCATAGCAATGTAATTAACGGATTTTTACGAATAGTGATCGGTCTTTTATTTGTTAGTAGCCTC